CAGGCCTGTCTCAGCCTCTGAACTTCCGGCACCAGCCTGTGGTAGCTCTGGCTTCCTGTGTGAGTATTTGGAAAGGCATAAGTCTCTGCTGAAGGTGGGGGCTGACCCCTGGTGGCAGGGGAAGGTGTGCAGAAGGCACATGTGGCTCCAGGAAGTGTAGACATAAGGGCAGAGATGGCAATTGTGTTGGAAAGAGGGGCGGGCCAGGGGACACTCCTTTTATTCAGATGAAGTGTTTCCTGGATGGCCTGGGTGAGAATGAGGAAGCATATGCAGTGGTCAAAGCCCTCCACAAGGCTCCCTTTGCTGCCACCCTGGAGAGAACAGTTTCCAGAATCCTGGGTTCTGGCCCTAGAGAGACATGCTGGTAGAGCAGGGGTTAATGCCTCCTGGTCTGCCCTCCTATGAGGCCAGAATGTTCCACTCCAGACTGAGGCAGGCAGCTTGGGGGAAAACTGCCTATCACCCAATGAATCAGCCATCACATTGAATCCAGCACCTTCAAATCCTGAGATCAAGGCCAAGGCTGGGGCTGCAGAGAGTAGTGAGGAGGGAGGGGGAAGCAGGTTGCTAAGAGAGAAGCCTAGTTCCCTCTGCATGAGTAACAGGAATGGTGATACTGATGACTGGGGTGGGTTGATGACGTGCTTGGCGCTCTCTGAATGAGAAGCTAAGGGGAGGGCTTGGCCTGTCCTTCTGTGTCCCCATGGGGGTGAGAGATCATTGATTCGCAAGGCCAAGCCCCCAGGGTCTCAGGCTGCACTTCCAGGGTGCACAGACAGCCCCCTCGTCTGCTCGCCCAGCCCCGCTGCCCTCCTCCACCCCTGACCTCATCCCAGCTCTCCTCACCCTCCCAGTGAGGTCAGGTTGGTGCTGAGGCACTTCCAGGGTTCTGCCTTGCTCAGTACACCCAAATCCAATCGCTGTCAGAGCTGGTGGCCCCTTCCCAGCCACGTGGAAATCAACTCCCCCAGAAGCTAGGCACCCTCTCTCAGGTACAAAGGGCTAGCCTATCCCACTTGCCTGAAACGGGAGCCAGTTCTGTGGTACCATCATGCTCTGATGCTCGCCTGAGAACCAGGCTGAGGACAGTCTCCAGATGAGAACACTTCCAAATCCATGTTTAACTTTCTTCCTCTTGTCCTGTCTGGTTCCCCTCACTCATCTTCTCCCAAGAGCACTCCTTAAATAAATACAATAAGTAAATATATCTCTTAATTAAGATTGATTCATTCATCTTTAATTAATTAATGTCTTGATTAAATTAAGATTTAAAACAAATCTCTTAAAGAAGAATCTTAAGTAAGAACCTCTAGAGCTTCCCTGGTGGTCCAGTGGCTAAGAATCCATCTTGCAAAGCAAGGAACACCTCTTCAATCTCTGGTCCCGGAAGATTCCATATGCCTCGGGGCCACAACTATTGAGCCTCTTCTCTGAAACCTGCAAGCCGCGCCAGCTACTGAGCCCACGCGCAGCAACAACTGATGCCCACGCACCCTAGACCCCATTCTCCACAACAGGAGAAGCCACCACAATAATAAGCCTGCACACCGCAACTAGGGAGTAGCCCCCACTCTGCGACTGCAGAAAGCCCACACATAGCAACAAGGACCCAGCACAGCAAAAAAAATAGTAATAAAAAATATTTTAAAAAATCTCCACTGCCGCTGCTGTTCTAGGGGCCCCACCCCATGAGAGCCTCTTGATATTCATAAGTAGCATCAGCCACAGTTTATTGCCTCTAAAAATTCAGCTTTACCCAGTACCTGGGTGAGTGAGTGAGTGAAAGTCGCTCAGTTGGGTCCGATTCTTTGCGACCATAGTCCAGGGAATTCTCTAGGCCAGAACACTGGAGTGGGTAGCCTTTCCCTTCTCCAGGGCCTCTTCCCAATCTGGGAATCCAGCCCAGGTTTCCCACATTGCAAGTGGATTCTTGAGCAGCTGAGCCACAAGGGAAGCTCAAGAATACTGGACCGGGTGGTCTATTCCTTCTGCAGCCGGCCTTCTCCACCCAGGAGTCAAACCGGGGTCTCCTGCATGGCAGGTGATTTCTTTACCAACAGAGCTATCAGGGAAGCCCCCACAGTACCTAGAACTTGTGATACACCCGTTTCTTTTTAAACTGAGTATTAGATTCCGTGGTTTGCACAAAGCACTTTCACCGATACAGCGATTCACACCAAAAATAGCTGCAGCAGTAGACGCTGAAGGGAATGAGAGTCTGGCGTCCTTAGGGGTGAGATTGGTCATCCTCTCTGGTTGAGTTTGAAGGCAGTGAAAATCCTATTAGTAGTAAAGGATGATATATGGTGAGGACTATTCATTTCTTGATTTTATTTTTTAAAACAATGTAATGAGAACCCATGAGTTTGGTACTCATCCCAGGAGCTAAGCTATCATCAGTAAGTAACTTAGGTCTACCCTGCACTCCTCTCCCATGCAATACTCATGCCTCCTCCAAGAGGTCACAAATATCTGAGGGCTTTATCACATCTCTTGATGCCTAAATAAGATACTGTTTTGTTTTATTTGCTTTTGGTCTTAGTGAAAAGAGTAGTCTTTTGACACTTGCTTTTCCACTCAAAATTATAATTATGAAGATTAGCCAGGTTGTGGCACAAAAAGGAGTATCATTTTCATTTTCACTGCTGTGTAGTATTCTATGTGCGAATACACCACAGACCATCCATTCTGTGGCCAAAGGGCGTAGGAATTGCTCCTTTCTTCCTTCTCTCTTACAGACAGTGTTACTGGCAACTAGTTTGTTCTCTGTGTCTGTGAGTCTGTTCTTTTCTGGTATGTTCACTAGTTTGTTGTATTTTTTTAGATCCCACCTATAAGTGGTATCATACAATATTTGCCCTTCTCTGTCTGACTTATTTCACTTAGCATAATGCCTTCCAAGTCCATCTGTGTTGCTGCAAAAGGCAACATTTCATTCTTTTTTATGGCTGAGATGGGGTATATATACCACATCTATAAAGTTCTATTTTCTTTACTCATTCATGTGTTGATAGATACTTATGTTGCTTCCGCATCTTTGCAATTATAAATAATGCTGCTATGAACATTGGGATGTATGTGTCCTTTTTAATTAGTGTTGTTTTGGGGGGAGGGGTATATACCAAGGAGAGGAATTCCTGGTTCATGTGGTAGTTCCACTTTTAGTCTTTTGAGAAAGCTTCATACTGTGTTCCACAGTGACTATACCAATCTACATTCTCACCAACAGTGTACAAGGATTCTCTTTTCTCCACATCTTCACCAACATTTTTTATTTATGTTCTTTTTGATGGTAGACATTCTGACAGATTTTAGATGATATCTCATTGTAGTTTTGATCTGCATTTCCCTGATTGATTAGCGATATTGAGCATCTTTTCATGTGCCTGCTGGCCATCTGCAGTTCCTCTTTGGAAAAATGTCTATTCAGGTCTTCTGCCCATTTTTTAATTGGGTTGTTTGATTTTTGTTTTTGATGTCAGATTGTATGAGCTGTTTACATATGTTGAATGTTAATCCCTTGCCGATCAAATCATTTGCAAATATTTTCTCCTATTCAGTAGGTCATCTTCATTTTGTCAGTGGTTTCTTATGCTATGCAAAAGCTTTTATGTTTCTTTAGGTCCGATTTGTTTATTTTTGCCTTTATTTCCTTTAAGAGGTGGATTAAAAAAAAAATTGGTGCAATTTATGTCAAAGAGTGCTCTGCCTATGTTTTCCTCTAGGAGTTTTATAGTATGCTGTCTTACAGTTAGATGTTTAATCCATTTTGAGTGTGTTTTGGTGTATGGTGTTAGAGAATGTTCTGATTTCATTGTTTCATATGTGGCTGTCCAGTTTTCCCAGCAGCACTTACGGACAGACTGTCTCTCCCCATTGTATACTTCTGCCTCCTTTGTGGTGGATTAACTGACCACTCGTGTGTGGGGTTATTTCTGGGCTCTCTGTCCTGTGCTGTTTATCTATTTTGTCCATTTTTGTGCCTGCACCGTAACAGTTCTTGACTTTTAAACAATATAAAGTTCTTTCTAAAGATACCTAGTTAACGTACTTTGTCTGAAAAACTGCATTAACTATCAACCTATTTTCATGTTAAATTATCTGAAAGTTCCTTGTCAGTGTTTTTGTACGCAATCAACAGCTTTCAAATCATCATCAATTACAATAGCATTTTACTCATGAAAAATGACATATGTATTTATAGTTCAACTGACTGATAGAATTTCAACATATAAAGCAAAAGAAGTACATTTTCACTGAACTACATCTCAAATAACACTTGCATTTGAAATTGAATATTCAGATATTAATAATCGATCCAAGTTATGTGGCTACTATTGTTATGTTGACAAGATGTGATAGAAATAGACACAGTCGGTCACACACAAGTTCAAGGGTGTCAGAAATGATATTGAACTAGGTTGAAGATGATTGTTTTGGGGTAGTGGCATTTGGGGCAATTAAAAAACCTTTTTTTTTAGTATGTTCTGCATTGATTTTTATGAGGAACATATGTCTTTTAATGATCATTTATTTAAGAATCTTTCCATAATCATGCTATCAAGAATTATTCACAGTTAACCACAAAGAGTATTTTCATGTTACACTGCAATATCAGTGAAATATAGCATAAGACTAAAGCTGACCTTGGCATAAAGATCTGACTCAGTAACATCTCTCTTAATAGCAGGCAGTCACTTATCTTTTTTCATCTTATTGGCATATAATTTAGATACAGTAACGAGTACAATATCAATTTTAAATACATATATCCCATAGAATCTCCACCCAGATCAAGAATATAGGGTAAGTCCAGCCTTGCAGAAGACTCTCTTGTGGCTCCTGAACGTTGGTGCCACTTCCATGGGTGACATCTACCTTGCCTCTCCCACTGTATTGGTTAGTTGTGCCAGTTTTTAACTTCCTGTAATTGGAATAATTGTGCAGTATAGCCTCTTGCAACTGATTGCTTTTGGTCAGAATTGCGTGAGGTTCACCTCTGCGGTTATACTGCCCGTACACTGGTCCTGTTTCTTGCCGTGTAATGTCTCACTGTGTGGACACATCACAGTGCATTTCCCCTTCTGCTGCCGCTGGACTTGCGAGTTGTTTCCGGAGTGGGTGACCATGAAGACGGCTGCTGTGGACACGTTCCCCCACGCCTTCTGGTGGACAGAAGCACGCATTTCCACTGGGCACATAGTCAGGAGCAGACTTGCTGGTCAGGGGTATATGTATGTTTAGTTTTAGGAAATTTGTGGGAGATTTCCAAAGTCGTTGTACCAGTTAACACTTGCACCAATAATGTAAGGTTGTTCTGTCTTTTCCTCATCCTTGACTTTAAGATACATGGTTTTGAGACTTCCCTGGAAGTCCATTGGTTAAGACCCTGCATTCCCAATGCAGAAGGCAAGGGGTTCAACCCCTGGCTGGGCAATGAAAATCCCGCATGCTGCAGAGCAAAAAAAAAAAAAAAAAAAGCCTAGCTGAGTCAATAAAACTTAAATTTTTCATAAAAGCATGCATGATTTTGAAAAGACTGAAAAGTAAGTTTATCATTTTTAAATTTGAGGGGTATATGTGTATAGAAAGTAAAAGACATCTGCTTGTATATCTGATCTTTTAAAAAAAATATTAGCGAATAGTTGATTTAAAATGTTATAATAGTTTTGATCTTAATAAAATAAAAATAATACCTCTAAATTCTGTCTTATATTAGAGTCAAAATGCATTCAATTAAAATTTTCAACTAAAATATAGTTTATGATTTGAGGGGAGGGAAAGACTGATAATACCAAGAATTGAAAAGCATACAAAGTTTTTGTGACAGTGGGTTTTGGCAGTGTTGTACTGGTAACTAATTAACAACTGGCTCACTAGGAAAGAAAGTGTGATTTGTAGAAGTTGCCAATTTCTGTGGGATAAATGGTTTTACCATGACTGACTCTCACACATTGTTGGTAGGAGTGTAAATTGCTACAACCACTTTATAAAACCATTTGATGAAATCTGTTAAAGTTGAATGTATGCAAATGCTGGGAAACAGCAATCCCAACCCTAGGTATGTGTACCAAAATATTTATATTTTCAGGTCATCAAAAGCTGAAAAACTAGAGTGAATAAATAGTTGTGCATTCATGCAATGGAATACTGTACACCAGTAGAAACGAATAAGCTGCTATTACACATAACAACATGAATGAATCTCACACAGACAAAAGCATATAGACTGCATAATTCTAACTATAAAAAGTTCAAAAAGAAGCAAAACTACTGGGGGTGGGGGTGTTCAGAAGTCAGGGTAGTGGTTGCTTTGAGAAGGACAGAGAAGGTAGTGATCAGGAGCATGTTTCCTGGATGTTGACTGTATGGACCGATTGTTTGTGTTCCCCCAAATTTCTGTTTAGTTCAGTTCAGTGTTTATGTGTTAAAATATATGTGTTGAAACCCTAACCCCTAATATGATGGTATTGTTACCGAGTCCAAGCTCACACTGCTCACAACGTGACAGGTATCCCAAAGAACCATCTTACCCGAGTTAGAATTCAGGCTTCTTTTATGCTGAAAGGGTAGGGGATGTGGCTGGTTGTTGCAGACTTCTTGGTGCTGACCAGACTGTGATATCCTTCGGTCTTGTCCACTCTAGGTCTTGTCACCATTCTCCTATAAATCTCCAGAAGAGAAAAATGATCTCTATGTGAATGAAAATTGTTATATCTTTAATAGTCCAGCCTGGGAGTCAGAGCCCTGAAAAGGAGCTCTGATGTGTGTTTCAGGCTGTAGGCGGCATTCCTTTCCAGGGTGCAGAGCCAGCAGGAGTAAGCACAGGAAACAGAGCACAAAGGTTAGAGCTAAAGCCATAGCTCGGATATGGAGTCAGGTTTGCTCTCTGTTACATTATGAGGTGAGGCTTTGGGGGAGGTATGTGCGTGGGTTTAGATGAGATCGTGATGTGAGGCCCCCATAAGGGGATTAGTGTCTTATGAGAAGAAATCAAAAACCTCTCTCCGTCGTTCTCTCCCTCTCTCCCTCCCTTCGTCCCTCCCCACCATGTGTACACACAGCAAAAAGGTGACCTTCTGCAAGCCAGGAAGCCAGCAAGAAGGCTCTCACCAAGAACTGAATCTGCCAGCACCTTGCTCTTGGACGTCCCAGCCTCCAGAGATGTAGGAAATAAATGCTTGAGGTTTGAACCTCCCTGTGTATGGTATGTTTTACGGCCTGAACAGTCTAAAACAGTTATGTTTGCAGATGTGTCCAAATTATAATGGTGTATTAATGAGCAATTTCAATTAAATTTTATTAAACTAATGGATTGTTCACACACACAAAACCAAAAAAGAATCTTAACATCATTATCAGAATAAATCAGCTTTTTCAATGTCTCTTAATTCACAGATAAATCTTCCTGTGTTCATAAATGAAACAAATTATACCTTGGCCAGTTAAACACATAAAGACAGTTTTGCCAAGAGCAATTTAGGCTCATAGTAGAGCAATTCATTTACATACTTAAGAGAAGCCATTCAAGCAAACAGAATATTTTCTAAATCCCCAGATACTTATTTTTAATTTTTAACCAACTAGCTCTAAATGCAATTGGATCAAAGACAGTTTTTGGCTGGAAACAAAGAGTGTGGTACCCTCTCAGAAGGAGGAAAAGTTAAACACATATTATTTAAAGACAACTGTATTCACCAT